CGAAAGCAACCAGATTCTAGTTAACAAAGTAACACCGAATGCATCCCCACGGACTCCGTACGTATCCAAGGGAGGAAGACACCTTGCGAGGCACCTGCAATTTTCGAAGACTGCAGAGGATGAGGAACATGCAAGGCGACGAGTAAGCTTCACGTGGGAGTTTCTCGAATAAAGGGGCCCTTGGGACCCTAGGGAATTAAGGGTATACAAAGCAATTGAATTTGAAGGCTCACCAGGGGTGCGTGCCAAGGACTATGTAAGGGTAATTTTGAGAAACTCCCACATTATGAGATCCACCGGATCAGGTTCATGGTCACAAGTCAGGATGTAAGGCTTGGCGCTTAGGGTTATGGCGCCCTAGACGTTTGAAGATCCATAGTGCCATAGGACTTCTGCCTATTTGATGCATTCTTCCTGTAGAATCTATAGAACAGGCCTCTAGTATCCTCCAGTGTCTAAAGAATCTAGAGAATCCTGCCAACAAGCTGCGCTGGAGAACCCTTCAGCGACAACGCAACACATTCAGACCATAAATGGCCCCATCTGCCAAATCCTCGAACCTTCCTCTGGCCTACGTCTAAGTACCCGTAGAGAACTGTGGGTGTGAGTCCGCCCCCAGCTCATCTCCTGATAAGTCCACACTTTAAGTTACATTTGTTTCAACCCAAAGCCTAAAACTGTACCTGGGGTCCTCTTTGGTAAATAGCATACCTTAATTCAAGATTACTGGAAGCTGCTGTATCTAAAGCTTTGCACAGTGGACCATGTCCTGTAAGACCCGCACTCCTTGGGAGCGAGCTTGGTGGGTGGCAGAGAACCGAACACCTGTGGAGCATGCCACTCGAACAGAAACAGCCTTCAGCCCTGGCTGGGTCTCTTGACACGGGGCCAGCATTGGACCAGCCAAACCGTTTCCAGCGCACTGATGTGAAAATCACTGTAACTATTCGCCATGCGATCTTGGCCCCGGCTTTACATCCCCTTTTCTGCAGATGCCAGCTACCTACTCGTGGTTTCCACACCGTTCGCCAAAGATCCTTGCCAAATGAGGCTCGGCAACCTTCTATTCAGTCTCGTTCTGATGCTGGGTAAGTTTCATCATGTCCTCAAAGTTCATGGATAGCCAGAACCATCCTGCATCCTTTGCGTGATACGCGCCCTTCAACTTCCGCTGCAAGGCATGCTGGAAAATCCTGCCCACTCTCTGGCCAGACCTGGCATGAATTCAAGCAGCTAAGGCTGCTCAAACATAAATCATATCTAGACCGCCGCAAGCCGTAAACCTTAATCCCTAAAGCCCTACCTAAGCCCCAAACCGTAATCCCCAAGCCCCAATTTTCCAAACAGAAAAAGACCCACCTGTCGCTGGCAGATCCCAGGCGCGAATTGCAGTACAGTCTCGCTGCAGTCTCCTGAGCCAGGTTTCAGAGTTGTCCATGCAGGGTTTAGGGTTCGCTTCTTGAGGGTTCCTTAGGATTTAGGACTGGCCTTAGCGTTGAGGCTCAGCTCAAGGTGATCGTAGCAAAAACTGCAGACTAGAATTCTTGGGTCGGCGGAGGGCAGAAGACGAAACTGCTACAGACATGTTGTTTAATGTACGTAGCCATTAACAACATAACGCTGTAAGCTGAGATCGACACGCATATGATTCATTGTCAAAACTCCTAGTATCCCCCTTAATATCCCGCAACTATCCGCTGTATCATCCCTTTTATAACCTCCCTTTGGGGAAACTAGACTATTGCTCATATGGCCGCGCAGGTTCAAAGCTGTGTTCTTGTGTCACTAAAAGGAGCGTGATGGGAACTGTTCTTTTCAAAACGTGCCCGAGGAAAGACAGCAGGTTCACTTTTACAAGCCGGCCAGGAAACATTTCCAGTATTGTCTGCTTTTCCGGGGCTTGCCCTGATGGGCAGACTTGAAAACCCCCAAGATCAACCCGATATACTCAACCTGCTAACTACCACTACTGTTCCCAGTTTCCCATGTCCACTGTATCTAATGAGCTAACGTTATGGCAATTAGTCTGCCAAGACTCCAGGCGCAGTTCCTCAATTTGTATCAACCCCGCCAGGTTGTTCAGCAGCCCCACGAGGGTCAGCCACTGAATCATCTCCCAGTCCCAGAAGAGGGTGTCCGCTATGAAGGCAGTCGTACTGATCTTGCTAACCAATGCAGCGACGCCTAACGAAGCACCAAAAAGGGAAGAGACCACCTCTGCAAGAAGAACTGCTGCTCCACTCTTGGAAGCACGGGCAATCCGGTCTAAGCACACCTGCGGGTTTGCCATTCGCAGCAATGCAAGGGCTGAGAAATTTGCAAGGGCTCGGATAAGATGCGCCCTGAAGAGCGCGAAGACAGGCAGCTCAAGAAACCTGGCAATTTCAACGACTGCGGGCTTCAACAAAAACAGCGCAGTGATGGCCCAAATGCCAAAGAATTCAAGCCAGGCAAGCACGTGCTTCGTCTGATTCAAAGGCTCACGAGGGTTGCGGGCTGGCAAGTCAGCGAGGGAATACGAGAAAAGGAAGATGTTCAAAACAGCACGAGCGCAAATCCTGCAGACTCGTAGATGCCCCGACAGTGCCACATCGGGCTCGCCCTGTCCAAAAACTGCCCTAACATCTGGTAGTTGAAGCTCAAGTTGTTCAATAGCCTCCGCTTCTTTGTTTTGAATTTGGGCCATTTGCTCGAGCAATGTGGCCAGAGTGAGGTAGGGGATAAGAACCATGAGGAGCATGCTTGCAATACCCAGGCTACTCAAGTATGTCATCCCATTCTGGCTGACCCACTGCCCGGGCAGTACCCGCCCAACCACAAACATGGAAGTAGTGGGCACAAAGCCAAGGAAAAGTGCCACAGCCAAGCAAGCCCTGCTGGGCAAAGACTCTTTGAAACTCCGACCACGCAGAGATTCGGAAACGGTACCAATGCGGACTGACACCCGCACCCGCCGTAATCGGCTAATGGAGAACAGGGAGAGCTGGTGATGAATAAGATTGCTCTCAGGGTCTGCGGCGCTGTCCACGCTGTCCCGTCCTGTTCGATGGTCGGACAGGCTCCGCGTGTCTTCCACATATGCCAATTCAGTGCGACCGAAGGTGACCATGGAGCTAAGCCGCGGGCTCCGATGCAAAATTACAATCCTACTTGCTGTGTTCACAGCAAAGCTCAACATGAGGACGATGCTTAAGGGGAAGTGACCGTGGTGACAACGAACTACTTGAGAACAATTATTCAGCCGGGCTGGCTTAGAAGCAGCATTGAACCCAACATGGCTCGACAAGTCAGCATTGTTTCTGAACGATGTCTCCTCTAATCAGCCGAGAATCCGTATGTACTACCTCCAAAAAGAAACTTCTGCTCGGGCTTCAACCCTCATAAAGACGTCTGGGCTATCGGAGCCGCACCAACCAGGATCAACCAAGCTGTGCCAGGCCGGCATCTTTGCAGTTTTCTTACATCGAAACTCCAAGCCAATGGTTTCGTAACCTCTGCTTTGAATTGGGGGTATGCCACAAGTTGGGGTACCAATTTTGAGTGTCCCCATAATAACGATTATAGTCTTCTGGTGTCTGTATTGATGTCTGTTTTGGGAAACTATACCAGAGATTCTAACTTGCCTGAGCCAGATCCAAGTGTGCCTCTAGCCTTGATTGTGCTAATTGGGGGTTTGCCAAAATTTGGGGTACCATTTTTGGGGGGTCCCCATAATAAGGATTGGGGTCTGTACTGATGTCTTCTGGGAAACTATACCAATTCTTGTGCAGCATACAAATCTGAATCCGAAATCTAACAAGTCAACTTCTTGAAACATGCTCAAAACTTACGGGCATTTCCTAAAACACTGCCCTTTTTGTATATCCTTCTGGGGACATACAAGGGAGACCGCTATTTCTCAAAAAAAAAAAAAAGAGAACACCCAAAAATTATGGAGCCGACCTCTAACCCAGGGCTCCTAGTTACCTAAATAGTACGTTACTGGGCTATGTAACTATAGGGTACCTAGAACCCAGAACCCATTATTTAGGTGACTGGAACCCTAGTGCTTGATATGAAAACGAGATGTGCAACTCTATCAAATTCTATAGTATCTATGGTAACAATTCTTGCTACTCTTTGCATTGTACTAATGTACTATGCTACATTCCAGTCTGCTGTACTGAAGAAACCAGCAATTCGAGGCAGTGACCTGGGAGGGCGCCGAACATCCACCTGATCACACAACTCCAGATGAAATGCTCAAAAGCAGTGTCCTCCAGGTACTGTACATATACAGGATCATGTGACGCAAGCTTCGTCTACAATGGTACAGGCATGTAAACACTGGCCCTCTTGAAAGCAACGCTGGAAGATGTTGTGAGATCTACCTAACCTCTGAGACTTGAAATAATTATTTGCCAGTTTCTCTTTAGGTTCTATATCTTTGTGTCCTGGCTTTGCGATTACAAAGCAGTTTTCAGCAAGAAACACAAGGCAACACAGGAGGAGGTCGTGAACATGCTGTTAAATGCACAAACTCTTGGTCAGGCCACTTTGCCGATTCCAGAGCATGGAGTGAGCATTCAGGAGTTTCCAGGAACCGTCACCTCTTTTCGGCTTATTGCCTTTAATGCAGTAGCGATTAGTGGAGTCAGGTCACATATCCTGGGTTCGATTTTGCCACGCAGACTGGTTCAGCGTGAAAAGAAAGCTGCACAACCGTTGAGGACGAAGGTGGCTCACAACACTTACGCTGTAGACTTTACATCAAGGTGGGGCTTCGAATGTTCCTCGGCTGACACTGAAGCCGAGTGCTTCCATTCCGAACCAAAAGAAAGGCAAACATGTTAAGGTGCCCCCAACAGCAAAACCTGTACATGAAAGCACAGCACTGCGAAGCCGCAGCAAGGCTGCGTTTGCTGGCCAGGGCCGCCGCAAATTTCGTTGGTGGCAACGCAACTCTGGAACCCAACGCACTTCATCTCACTTTGGCCCAGTAAGCGCCATCTCACTGCCACCTAGCAAGGGTCGGCACTCTGCGTTGCCACAGCATTGCCGCGTCTGTTGGCCGGGACCACCGCAAGTGCCATGCTCAGCCACGTACTGCTGATGATGCCGAACACAGATGCTTCCCGCAGAGGAGTCGGAAGAACGGCAGTCCATGTTGCCACAGCACGGACCTGCGCGAACCCAGAACATCCAGGGCTTTGGTCTGCACAGTGCACCTTCCCAGCTTGGCACCCTCGCAAGGAAGCGACCAAGTTAGCCGTGAAATTCGCCGTCGTGTTCTGGGCAGCGACGAGCCCCAAGCAGCAGGCCAGCGCCAGATGATGTGCCATGCTGTACAAGCAATACTAACCCGCGCCCTTTACGGATGAGGATGGCTGAAAGATGGCTGGAGGGCGCCGGCCAGCAACGCATTGGTGACCTGCGCTGAATATGACAATCCATGTCCAAACTGCGTTCGACCTGTGCGAAGCAACCTATGTTTCGCCCGATTAAGACTGATTGAACGCATCCACCCGGCCTCTGTCCGCACTGCACGTCCAGGCGAACGGTGGATACTGCTAGCAAGCACCAACATGTCTAGCATGTGGCTGCTTCTTGCGTGGATAGATTAGCGATTGCAGTCCTCGGGAACATCTTCCAGTGCTAATGCCTTTTGAAACTACCATATTGATGCTTGATATTGAACGGCACAGGGTCATCTCACAATCGGCAGAGGAGCCTTCGCAAGTGGAGATCAAGTGGATGCCTGAAGATTAAAAAAACACAGCCGACGTGTGCTTGATGCATAATGCTGCTAAAGCTTTGATAAACTCACCTACTACAAAAGCTCTAAAAGGCACATCGCAAGAAGCAACTCCCCTGTGCCTCACTTGTACGTTTTGCGTCTTTCTTCAAGCACGGAGCGTGCTGTGATCAGTAGCAGTATGAGTGGCAGTCGCAGGAGCAGCAGCAGCGGCGGCAGTAGTTGCTGTCACCATTGTTGTTGCAGCAGCAGCAAGAGAAGTAGCAGCAGCAGCAGCAGTAGCAGTAGCAGTAGTAGAAGTCGGTGCAGCCGTAGGAGTAGTAGTAGAAGTAGTGGAGGTGGTAGTGGTAGAAGTGCTGGTGGTGGCGGTGGCGGTGGCGGTGGCGGCGGTGGCGGCGGCGGCGGTGGTGGTGGTGGTGGTACCAACCAATGTTTTTTCCAACTTACACATGTTGCAACCAACACTGTAGCAACTGGGGAAGTATTCACTTCCGTGGAAGGCTAGCGGCTTAGAAATTTCATGAAGCACAGGTGGAAGGAGATCCGTTGGGGCACGGGGTGGCAGGAATTAGCAACGTCCATTCGAAACGCGTGCATGCAAAAGATGTTGGCGGTTGCAGCAGTTTGATGCTTTTGACGGGGGTGGTGAACATTCCACCATAAGCCTCACATGCTTAGGCTCTGCTTCCGACCCCAGACACATTCGGGAACATGGTGGGCAGCGGGGCGGCTACTGGTAGTAGCAGTCGCAGTAGCAGCAGCAGCAGCAGCAGTCTTAGTAGTAGTCGTCGTAGTAGCAGCAGTAGCAGCAGTAGCAGCAGTAGTAGCAGTAGTCGTCGTAGTAGCAGTAGCAGTAGCAGTAGCAGTAGCAGTAGCAGCAGTAGCAGTAGCAGTAGCAGTAGTAGTAGTAGTAGTAGTAGTAGTAATAGGCGCCCCTCCCCCCTTACCAACTATGTGGTTGATATTTCCACTACCAGACTTTTGGGGGGGAGGGGGGAGGGGGGGGAGGCACGGGATAATTGCGTATAAACCCACCT